GCGGAGGACGCACGGGCGGCGGGACGCAGGGACGGCGGCGGCCGGAGCGCGCGAGGCGAGTGGAACCCGGGGCGGGATCGGGGTTCGAGGTTCGAGTCCGGGTCGGGGTTCGAGCGTGGGCCCCAACCCCTCCACCCCCCGAGCCCGGGGCGCGACCTCGCCGGCGCCTCCGAGCCTCCAGCGCCACCATCTGTGCCCAGACTTTGCGGACTTTGGCTGTCGCGGTCCCCGCGCCTCTGCCCCCTGCCCAGCTCGGACCCCGTCCCCGCTTCTCTCCCCACTCTGCGCCCCTCCTCTGCCCTCCGCCCCATCTCCGTCCTCCCCTTCCTCCTCTCTGCTGTCCCCGCGCCCTCCTCCGCGGCCCGGCCGAGCCAGGCCCCAGGGGGCGGGAAGGCGGCCGGGCGTCCGGCGGGCTGGGCCTCGGCCTGGCGGCTGGGCCGGCGTGGGGAGCCGCAGCTGTTTGCCATTAGCCGGGACCCCGCAGGCCCCGCCCCCTCCCTGCGCGGGGCGGGGTCGTCCTCCTCACCCCCGGCTTTGGGGCGGGGAGGGGGGCGCGAAGACCCCGGAGACGTCCAGGCCGGGCTGGGATGGGGGCTTTAGGGAGACCCCGCCCGACCCCGCGAGCCTCCTGCCTGTCCCCTCCTGGAGTGTCCTGTCTCCCTTTCTCTCCATCTCTGTCTGTCCTGTCCCGTGTCCTCCTCCCTGTCCCCCAGGGGTCCCCTAGAGGAAGAGGGGCCTCAGACGCATACATTCCCCCACCACACTCCCCTGACCCCCATCTCCTTTCTCCGCCTGGAGTCACCTGCCCACATGGAGGGCGCTCCGATGGCTGGACACCCTCAGACCTCAGTCTCTCTGTCTGGGAAATGGGCAGAGGGATGTGGCATGGGGGTGCGGGTGGCTTGGCCGGCAGATTCCCCCTCTGCCCGGCTTAGGTTCAAATCCAGGCCCAGTCACTTCCCCCTCCAGTGACCCCGGGCAAGTCGCTGTCCATTTCTGCACCTCCAGATTCCCCATCTGTAAAACAGGGTGGCAGCTACCGCTTGGTGGGGTTGTGGTGATGTTTGCTATAGTCATTACTATTACTCGCCCCACCCCTGTGCACCTCCGGGGGCCCCCACAGGCTGTTCCAGTCCTGCTCGCTGCCTCCAGTCTCTCTCAGGTCCCCAGAAAATATATTTGATCACCTCCCCGTTGTGGAGGGGGTGCGCCTCCAGGCAGGCAGCAAACCAAAATTCCTGTCATCGGGGACCGTGTGTTTCAGGCATTGAAAGACAGAGAAGTGAGGACAGAGTCGTGGAGAGACAGAGAGAGAAGTGGAAAGAGGCACAGAGAGAGACGCGGAGAGACGCAGAGAAACGCGGAGAGAGACTGAGCAGGAGACACGCAGAGTGAGAGAGAGGACAAGCTCGGCCGGCCGTGGAGTTCCAGCCCCGCCTTCATGCCCGGCAGGTGCCCCACCTGGCCCATCCTCCCAGGTACCCGCTGCCCTGGCCCCCACAGGCTGGAAAGGGTCCACTGTGATGGTGGGGTGGGCTGGGGCCTCTGCAGCAGGGTGGCTGAAGGTCAGACAGCAGAAAGGACTGGCCGAGCTCAGGCAGAGTATTAGGGACAAAGTCCTGGCCGGACTCCAGGGCTGGGGGCGGGGGTGTGGGGGCTAGTGAGATGCTCTGATTGTCCCTCCCCTTTGCAGCCCCCAGGCGCCCCCTCTTACTTCCTCCCCGCACCCCCATGACTTCCCGGGCCTCCGCCCGGCCTTCTATCTCTGCTGCGCCCCTCAGCCGGACGCGTCCTGGGGGGGCAGGAAGTTCTCGTGTAGCCCGGCAGCGAAACTGTTTATTTTTAGAGAAAATTGTTTCCATAAAGGGGAAAGGCTGTGCTCGCTGCCTCCCCCCAACTTTCCCCAGAGCCCCCCACCCTGCCTGGCCTGACCCGGCTCTGCTTTGGGGTCCCCTACCCCGCGTTTTCTCTCTTTTTGTGCCCCTGGGTCTCTGTCTCCTGGGATCCATGCAGGAAGGCTGTCCCCCATTAGTGCCCCAGCCCCTGCCCACCTCAGCCCCTGTCCGTCCCCGGAGGCTGCTCCTAGCCTGCACCGAGGGGAGGGGTGCAGGAAGGGTGGGGTCTGTCAGGCTTAGGGCCCCCCGGCTCAGGGGGCCTTGTGGAGGCGGGGCCGTGGGAACAGCTGGAGCCTGTCCAGGGGCTGGACAGATGTGCCGGCGGGCCCTGAGGTTTGCTTTCTTTGTTCCAGGCCTCGGGGGGCCCCCACCCCTGCCCACAGCCAGGCTGGGGTGTGCCTCTGAGAGGGTCCCGGACCTGGGGGAGAGAGGGGCCGGGAGGGGGCTCTGTGGAGGGGGGCGGGTATCCACATCCCCTCCCCTCCCCCTGCACACTGGTCCTGACTCCCGGCTCCCTCGCCCCCTCCCCAGGTAAGCCTCAGCCCGTGCTGCAGGCAGTCTGAATCACAGTCCCCAAAGTGACCCTTGAGGAGCGACCGCAGACCGGAGGATGGCCCAGGTCCTGCATGTGCCAGCCCCCTTCCCAGGTCAGGGGTCTCGGGGGAAGAGGGCCCAGCCCTGGGGTTGGAGGTGGGGGGATACGCTCTGTCGACACAGCCCTGCTCTGCGTGGCCTGGGGGAGGGGAGAGGGCTCTGCCCTGGGTCTGGGGGTGGGGGGAGGGATCTGGCCCTACCTGAGGGTGGGACACAGCCCTGCCCCGAGGGCCTCAATGGGGACAACTTAGCTCTGCCCTGGAGGATCTGACGGGGCAGGCAGGGCCCTGTCCTGGGAGGACTGGGGGGTGACAGGGCCTCGCCCTGGGTGGGAGACACAGTTGAGCAGCTGAGCGCCCCGTGGGCTCCCATCCCTTGGGCAAAGAAACCATCAGCCTTCGCCGGAGGAGGGGACAGCAGCGTTCGGAGGCCCTGCGTGTCTCCCCCTCCAGGGACCCCCGGCCCAGCCTCCCCGCCCGCCTTCCCCGCCAAGGAGCCCGACCCGCCCTACTCGGTGGAGACGCCGTACGGCTACCGCCTGGACCTGGACTTCCTCAAGTACGTGGATGACATCGAGAAGGGCCACACGCTGCGCCGGGTGGCCGTGCAGCGCCGGCCCCGCCTCGGCTCGCTGCCCCGCGGGCCCGGCTCCTGGTGGACGTCCACCGAGTCGCTGTGCTCCAATGCCAGCGGGGACAGCCGCCACTCGGCCTACTCGTACTGCGGCCGCGGCTTCTACCCGCAGTACGGCGCCCTGGAGACGCGCGCCGGCTTCAACCCGCGCGTGGAGCGCACGCTGCTGGACGCGCGGCGCCGCCTCGAGGACCAGGCGGCCGCGCCCCCCGGCCTGGGCTCGCTGACGCCCAGCGCGGCCGGCTCCACGGGCTCGCTGGTGGGCGTGGGGCTGCCGCCGCCGACGCCGCGGAGCTCGGGGCTGTCCACGCCGGTGGCGCCCAGCGCCGGGCACCTGGCCCACGTGCGCGAGCAGATGGCGGGCGCGCTGCGGAAGCTGCGGCAGCTGGAGGAGCAGGTGAAGCTGATCCCCGTGCTCCAGGTGAAGCTGTCGGTGCTGCAGGAGGAGAAGCGGCAGCTCACCGTGCAGCTCAAGAGCCAGAAGTTCCTGGGCCACCCCGCGGGGGCGCGGGCCCGCGGCGAGCTCTGCCTGGACCTCCCCGAGGCCCCCGAGGACGCGGCGGCGCTGGGGACGCGGAGCGTGGGCACCTGGGTCCGCGAGCGGGACCTGGGCGTGCCCGACGGCGAGGCGGCGCTGGCCGCCAAGGTGGCCGTGCTGGAGACGCAGCTCAAGAAGGCGCTCCGGGAGCTGCAGGCGGCGCAGGCCCGGCCGCCGCCGGACAGCGCGGGGCGCGTGGACACCGTCCGGGTGGTGGAGGGGCCTCGCGAGGTGGAGGTGGCGGCCAGCACGGCCGCCGGGGCCCCTGCACAGCGCGCCCAGAGTCTGGAGCCCTACGGGGCGGGGCTGCGCGCCCTGGCGACGTCCGCAGGGGCCGAGAGCGCCCCCGTGTTCCGCAGCCGCGAGGTGGTGGAGACGGTGCTCCCGACGCCCGCCGCGCCCGCCGCCAACGTCCACCTGGTGAAGAAGATCAGCATCACCGAGCGCAGCTGCGAGGGGGCTGCAGGTGAGCCATAGCGGGCAGGGGGGGACGGCGGAGGGTCCCTGTTTCCTCCTCCGAGCGCCAGGGTCCAGCCCCAGCCCTGGCCCGCCACCAGGCAGACCACTCCGGCTCTCGGAGCCTTTGTTTCTTCTTCATCCGCAAAAAAGGGACAACTGTGCCGCCGACTCAACGCTGTAGGGACCATGCGGAGAAATTGAGTGTCTGTTAAGTGTGTATCCTCGTGTCTAGCACATTGTAAGTGTCCAGGAAACAGGACGTATTTGGGGGAGGGGTCCCAAGGCTGTTGGTTTGCTGGGCAGAAAACCCTCCCTGTTTATTCATTAAGTGGCAGGAAGCAATCTCAGACCAGTTTAAGCAATGAAAAGGAAATGTGTGGGTCATGTAACTTAGTGACAGCTTCAGGCATAGCCGGATCCAGGTGCTCAAATATCATCAGGACTCTCTTTCTCTTTCTGTGCACCCTGGAGGCTTCTCCCTCAGGCAGGCAAAGGTGGCCCCACTGCTCCAGGCATCTGTCCTTGCAACTCAGTAGAAAGAGAACCTCTCAGTCTAAACAGCATCAATAAAAATCCTAGAGGTGGCCCTCATTGGCTGGTATGGGTTGTGTGCCCATCCTTGAGCAAATCACTATGTCTCTCACTGCCCAGCCCTGGATCTTGGGGGTGGAGGAGCCCCACCCGAGTCCTGAGGGAGGAAGGAGTGCTCCCTAAGAAAATGCTGATTCCTCGTGCCAGGAAAGGGGATGTGGGATGTGCAGGATGGCAGCTGCCCCTCCGTGACCGCCCCGAGGCCCCTGGAGAAGCTGCCAGGATGATTCATAATAATGACGACAGCTGTGCTTTATCGAACACCAGCCTGGTGCCGGGAGCCCTGCCAAGGGTTTCGCCCACGGAGGAGCTAACGGGGTGGGCTGTGCAGCCCGGCGACCAGGGTTCAGATTCCGCTTCTTGCTGTGTGACCCTGGGGGAGTGGCTTCACCTCTCTGGGCCTCAGCTTCCGTATCTGAATTGGAATAATAACAGCCCCCACTTCTAGGAGTCTTGTGGATTAGCCCACGCAGTAAGCACTCCTTCAGTGCTCCTGGCAGCTTCTGCTGATAGTTTTCGAGTCAGCTGTTTATAGCTGGGGAAACTGAGGCTCAGGGACAAGCTGCACTTGCCCTGCGTCGCACAACCAGGATCTAAACCCAGGTCGACCTGAACCTGCAGGAGGGCTCGAAGGTGGCGCCCGGGTCCTTGTCCCAACCCCGCATGTCAGGTGGCCAGAGCCCCCCCGGAGGGACCAGAGGGTGTGGGCTGGAGGGTGGGGCCCCAGCTGTTTTCTTCCCGGTTGTTCCGGGCCAGCTGCAGACACCACCCCTCTGTTCTGTGTCCATCCCACTCTGGCCCCCAGCCAGGGGCCCCGCCCGCCCAACCTCGGGATCTCAGAGGCAGCCCCCAGGGCAGCCGGGGCGCCTCCTGCCTGCAGGACCCGCAGACACAGCGATGTCCCCACCCTTTGCAAGCCGCTGCCGCCAGAAGTTCTTCCTTGTGTCTCACTTAACTCCTGCATGCTGCAGCCAGCCCCTATCTCTGCCTTGCTTGAGTGGAACTGGAGTGTGCTCATTCGTTTCAGTGTTTTCTTATTCAGCAACGCTTTATTGAGTGCCTGCGATTTGCCAGACTCTTCTAGGCCCTGGGGACACAGCGGTGAACAAGACAGACACAATCCCCTGCAATAAACAAATAAGAGACCACAATAAATAAGTGGAGAAATGTCATTTCAGAGAATACATGCTTGAAACAAACAAGGGCATGGGGTGGGCGGTGATTGGATGGGGTGGGGGCCCCAGTTAACATTCTGGTTTCCCTGCTTCCTAGCTCTGTGCCCTTGAGCAAGTTAGTTAACTTCTCTGAGCCTCGTTTGCAAATCGGGGGTCGTGACAGCCGGATGTCACCAGATTAACATGAGGCTTAAATGTGTCTGTTTGCGTCAAGTGTTTGACGTGGCTCGACGTGGCACGTAGTAGGTACCCGAGGGTTAGCTGCTGGCTCTTTGAACCAAGATATGGGAAGAAGAGTGTTCCAGGAGGAGGGCACAGCAGGAGCAAAGGCCCTGAGATGAGGAGGGTCTTGGGCGCATCCAAGGTGTGGAACAATGTGGAATAAGATGAGGCCAGAGAAGCGAGGTCCAGGGGAGCCTGAGCGTAGAGTGGGTCCGGCAGGGCTCCTAGACTGGGGAGAAGCATTATGGGAAGGGAAATGAGATGGTACAGGACGTGACGAGTGTTCAGACCATGTGTTGGCTTAGGTGGGTCAGCTCCATGTGTAGGTCAGGGAGGGCTCCCTGGGGGAGGAGGCAAGGAGGAGCCCAACCTCTCTGCCATCTCAGATTCGCTCACTGCGCCTGAAGGGCAGGGAGGGTGGGAGGCAGCTCTCCCCTCAGGCTGGCAAGGGTGGGTGGGCTGCTAGAGGACTGGGGACCCCACAATGTCACATCCCGCCCACCTGGCTAAGGCCCCCCCAGAGAGATCAGCGGGAGAAGGGGCGGCTGGGCACGTGCACCCGTGGGATCTCTCCAAGGCTTTGAGATTCCCTCTGCCCTTGTTGGAAACGTATTCCTGTGAAAGCAATTTATATCCTTAGTGGAAGGTTTGGAAAGTGCAGAAGAATCTAGAACAAAAAATAAAACCGCTATAAACCCACCACCGCCCAGACGCAGCTGCTGTCAACACTTCTGCTTCTTTCCTTCTGAATTTTGTAAGGCAGAAAATCACATGTGTTTTTCAAGCCTGGCAACACAGAGCTGCAGGAATTTATCGTTTGGCTCTATTTTATTTTTAAAAGCATTCAGGCAGCCCTTATTGTGGGCCAGGGCGTTTTCTGATGCTCTTTTCATGTTTAATTTCCTGGAGCAAATCTCCAGTGGCCCTGTGAGGTTGGTGGTGTTTTTATTCCCAATTTACAGATGGGGAAACTGAGGCACGGGGAGGTTAAGGGATTTGCTCATGGTTCCTGAAGCCAGGATTTAAACTCTTTGATTTCATATTATCCTAGGGGCATTTCTTCATGTTATTAACAATTCTCGGGACCCGCCGTTTACTATTTAACAGCCACGTCGTTCTTTACTGTCAAGGGTGCCACACAGCTGTCCTTCCTTGGGAACCCCTCCTGTCCTCCAATCTGTTTTTTCAGGGCAGGCTTCTGGAAGGGCATTTTTTGAGGATGTTGAGGACTGTCCCCAAATTGCTTTACAGCCCTCGTGGGCTCAACGCCCTTCCCGCAGTGGGTGGCTGAGTGATTTAAGTTTTTAAAAATTCCTTTTGGACTTAAGGAGCCCGAACCTGAGTTAATCTAATTCTTCAGCTCGTGGCAACCATCCGCACTGGTCTGTGCATGGAACCTTCTTTATTCTTTTGTGCCTTCATCTTTCACCTTCAATGCTGAGGGTCGGTAAATATTTTTAGCTTTGTGAGCCGTACAATCTCTGTTGCAATGACTCGATTCTGCTCAGTTTTTTTTTTTTTCCAGCTTTTTTGGGGTATACTTAATAGACAGAAAGTTGCGCGTTTTTAATATATACATTTTGTTGAGTTTGATCTCTCCATTCTGCGTTGGTAGCGTGAAAACAGACATAAACAATATATAAATGAATGAACGTGTGTGTGCCAATAAAACTTTATGTGTCGACACTGAAATTTCACTTTCAGGTAATTTTCACGTGTGCCAGATAAAATGATCGTTTTAATTTTTTTTCCCAACGATTTAAAAATGTAACAACTGTGCCCACAAGCTGTGGTTTCCCAACCTCTGCTCTATGCGATTCACACACCCCCACCCCATTTAATATCATTCCTTGCAATCCACCTTCCAGAAGCTTCTTTAGCTATTCGGGTGTCCTTGAAAAATATGCCTTGTCTGTGTTTAATTTCCTAAAATGGTATTGTGCTTTAGAAAGAAAAAAAATCTTGTTCTGTCTCTTATTTTTTCCTCTCTACATACTGTTTTTGAACTCCCCACTCTGATGTTCATAAATCTGCTTCGTCACTTTTAATGACTGTGTAGATTTCTGCCCTGGGTATGTGCTACACTCTTATCTCATCCCCCCTCGGTGGGCACCTGGGTTACTTCCAACTCCTGGCTGCCATGAGCAGTGCTAGGGCCATCCTCACATGTCCCGTCCCGTGGGGCTGCTGGGTCACAGAGAATGCACAACTTTACTCCAGATTTTGTCTGATCCTCTCTGCAGAAGTTCTCCCTGTCCACACTCCCACCAGCCACGCTTGAGTCGGAGGTGCCCATTTCCCCACAGCCCACCAACACGTAGTTTTATGTATCTTTCTAATTTTTTGCCCATCTGACCATGGGGCAAAGTGGTATCTCCTTGTTGTTTTAATTTGCATCTCTTCAATTTCTGGTGAGGATGGGCATCACCATATGTGTTTAATACGATTCCTCCCTGAATCACTTATTTGTAGACTTTGTCCATTTTTCTTTGGGCAGAAGTTTCTAGCATATTCCAGAATAGGGGCTGGCAACCTACAGCCTGTGGGCCAAATCCAGCCCACTGCCTATTTTTATATGGCCCACAAGCTAAGGATGGTTTTTACATGTTTAAATGGTTGAACAATATGAAAAGAAGAATAACGTTGTGCAACATGAGCAAAATTATATGAAATTCAGACTTATTAGAACGCAGCCATGCCCATTCATTTGCATACTGCCTACGGCTGCTTTTGCACTGTTGATGACTGAGACCTTTTGGCTCACCAAGCCAAAAATATTTACTATCTGGCCCTTTACAGAAAAAGTTTGTTGACTCCTGTTCTAGAAGATAATCCCTTACCCATTTTTGGCATCGGGAGTACAGTCATGTGCCACATAACGATGTTTCTGCCAATGATGGACCACATATGTGAAGGTGGTCCCATAAGATTAGTTCCATAGGGGCCAGCCCGGTGGCGTAGTGGTTAAGTTCACACACTCCACTTCGGCAGCCCAGGGTTCGCAGGTTCAGATCCCAGGCTCGGACCTACGCACTGCTCATCAAGCCAAGCTGTGGCAGTGTCCCATATAAAGTAGAGGAAGATGGCCACGAATGTTAGCCCAGGGCCAATCTTCCTCAGCAAAAAAAAATTAGTACCATGTAGCCTAGGTGTGTAGTAGGCTATACCATCTGGGTTTGTGTAAGTGCACTCTATGATGTTTGCACAATGACAAAATTGCATAATGATGCCTTTCTCGCTAAGCGATGCATGACTACCTTCTCCCAGTTTGTGTTCTTATATCAATTAACTTTGTCTATGAGATTTTTTTTTTAATCAAACAGAAGTCTTCGTGTTGGATGTAGTTAAACCCATCATATTTCTCTTTTTTTTAATTTTTAATTTTTTTCCAGTTTTCTTGAGGCATAATTGACATATAACATTGTATTCATTTAAGGTGTACAAATTAATTATTTGATAGTTGTATATATTGCAAAATGATCACCACGAAAAGTTTAGTTAATATCCATCACCTCACAGAGTTATAATTTTTTTTCTTACGATGAGAACTGAAAATCCACTCTCTTAGCAACTTTCAAATGTACAGGACAGTGTTATTAACTGTAGTCACCACGTTGGACATTCCGTCCCCAGAACTTGATGTGATAGCTGGAAGCTGGTACCTTTTGACCCCTTCACCATTTCCCCACCTCCTGCCTCTGGCGACCACCAACCTGTTCTCTCTCTGAGTTCAGTTTCTTTAGATTCCACATATAAGTGAGATTATACAGTATTTTTCATATATGGTTTGTGCTTTGAGAAATTTTTAAAGGACTCTTTCCCCTCCCTGAGGCCCCTGATATTTGGCCCTGTCTTCTTCCTGTAGCTCCGTCTTCATCTTGATCCTTCGGGGTTTAGTTTGTGTGTAAGGTGTGAGGTAGGGATCTGGCCTGAGTTTTCTTGGGTAGAGAAGCTGCTTTTCCCAACCCGACACCAGAGAGCCCAGCTTTTACCACTGATGTGTGGAAACCCCTCTGTCTCACCCCAGTCCCCGGAGATGGGGCCTGTGCTGGGCTCTCTCTCCTTCCTTCCTTCCCTCGGCCCATTTCTTCCGACTACAATACCCCACTGTTTGGATTGTTGTGGCTTTGGAATATGTTCTATTCTCTCTCTCTTGTAGACCGGGCTCCCCATCTCTGCCCTTTCTTGTAAAATGGTCTTAGCTGTTCATGGACTTTATTTCTTGCATATGAATTTCGGTATCACGTTGCCTCTTCCCCCACGGGAATAATAATAATAAACATGATCCGTATTGTTATTGTTATTTTAGTGTTGCAGTGTCGACCTTGAACTCCTCAGGCTGGTAGGAGCCATCCAAGCTTGTGGAAGGCAGAGCCTGCTTTTCCCTTGGGGCAGAAGGGGCCTCATGCTGTTCCGTGTTATTGTTTTTTTTTCACTTTTTTTAGATTGTTTTTGTAATTGTAATTTTTAAAATACGTCTAACATAAAATTTATCATCCTAACCATTTTTAAGTGTTCAGCGGCATTAAGTACACTCACATTGTTGTGCAGCCATCTCCAGAACTTTCTCATCTTCCCAAACTGGAACTCTGTCTCCATTAAACACTAACTCTGCATCCCCCTCCCCTAGCCCTCGGCCCCCACCATCCTACTTCCTGTCTCTATGAATGTGACTGCTCTGGGGACCTCCTATGAGTGGAATCACACAGTATGTGTCCTTCTGTGACTGGCCCCTTTCACTCAGCATAATGTTACTGCCCCAAACTTGTTGACGCTGCCGGGTGTTTAAATCAGAAGCCCTGAGTCTGGGGTGACAGTGAGATCGTGAGCTGGCCTGTCCGCCTCCTGATACATCCACTTGGCCACACAGGGGTTTTGTTTGATGTGAATTTATTGACAAGGTTTAAAAAAAAAAAAATCAGGAGATTCACATCAAAACCCGGCGTGTGCTCTTGATTCCCTGGATGGTGCTGGAAGCGGCCTGGGCGGGCCACGCCCTGGGCTGGGCTGCTGTCACTCACCCTCATGACAAAGCGTCTGTGAGTTCTGCCTGTGCTGAGCTCATACTCCCGTTCCTAACCAGAGTCGAGTGTCGCCCTCGGACTTGAGGAAGTAGTTACTGTGTCTGTCAAGAAAAGTTTCAACTGTTCAAGGGCATTAAAATGAATTGGTCTGCAGAGCCCGTGGCCAGTGGCAGGATGGGACGTCCTGGGGAAGTGGTGGCACGGAAGCCACACGTGGCCTGGGGGGACCCGAGCAGGTTCCAAGACACGGCAGCCACTCAGAGTGGCCACTGGGACTTGTGTTTCTGGCTCCAGGCTGGTGACCCGGGGCTGGATCCCCAACCCCACTCCCAGCTGGGCAGCGGGTACCCTGACAAAGTCATCTTCGGCCTCAGACCAACCTGGGTGTGTGTTTTCTTTTTAATTGTGGTAAAATATACATAACATGAAACTTACCATCTTAACCGTTTTTGAGTGTCCGGTTCAGTGGCATTAAGTACACTCACATTGTTGTGCAACCATCACCCCCATCCCTCTCCAGCACTTTCGTCTTCCCAAACTTAAACTGCTGGAATACGGTTTTTCATTTTCCAAAAGCCCTGCTTGTTTATTTTTCCTAATGATTAAAGTAACACCTACTTAATGTTAAGTAAAGAAGAAAAAAAGGAAGCTGGATACGAAATGATATCCCCAACACAACCCTGCTTTTGTAAAAAAAAAAAAAAGTAATATTAAGTCTTATCAAAATAACGTTTACAATTCTCTGGAATTAGCAAATGCGCCTGGAGCGTTCTTGATGTGCAGGCGTTGTTCTAAACCCTCTCCCCCAGTTACTGTCTTTACTCTGCACGACTTGCCAGGAAGTAGGAAATGTTATTCACCCGAGGCACAGAGAGGTTAAGTGACTTGCCTGAGGTCACACAGCTCTCTCATCTGGGGAGATCTGAGTCCCTATGGTGACCACCACTCAGTATGGTGTCGTGGGGGGGGGGGTCACAGGCCAGGATTGTGGGTCACAGGGTCCTCCCTGCCCCTGACCAGCTGTGGGACAGGCAACAAACTGAGGTTGGAATCAGTTTCTGCTGCTCGCTCACTCGCTGGGTGACCTCAGCAGCCCCCTGTGCCTCAGTTTCCTCGTCTGTAATAATCCCATTTCCTCGTGGGCTGGGAAGATTTGATGAAGTCATGCAAGACTTAACCCCCGGCCCCCAGGAGCCGGGTATTAATAGTTACCCACGGTGAGTGGCCTTTCCTGCCCCTCCAGGTGTCCCACAGCCTCCTGCAGAGTCGTCGTCCTCACCCGCGGGGTCCACGGCGGCCTCCCTGGCACAGCCCGAGGGGAAGGCAGGCCAGGGCCCCGCCAGCGCCGCCGCCGACAGGGAGCCCTCCAGGCCAGCAGCCTCGTGCGCGTCGGAGGAGGCCGAGGGCGCGGGTGAGCGGGGGTGGCTGCCGAGAGGGACGAGAGGGACGGGCAGGGGTCTGGCCCTGGAGGCTCTGACGACGCCACCCCTCCCCCAGGCGGGCCCCAGGCGGGCGTGCGCTCCATCATGAAGCGGAAGGAGGAGCCCGCGGACCCCGCGGCCCACCAGAGGAGCCTCCAGTTCGTGGGGGTCAACGGCGGGTGAGAGGACCCCCCCACGCTCCCTGCCCTTAGCCTCCACCCTCCTGTCCGTTCCCTGGGTCCTTCGCGCCCAAGAACGTACCGAGGACCCTGGTCTGGATCCTCCCTTTGATTCGTACATGTCACCAAAGCGCAATCGACAGAGGAGGAAACTGAGGCACAACGAGGCCAAGGGCCTTGCTGGAGCTCACACGGTGAGCAGGAGTCGGCCCGGTGGTCCGGCTCCAGAGTCTGTGCTGTAACCACTGCACCACACTACCCCGCGGAAGGTGCCGGAGCTCCCGGTCCACTGGAGCCCCCGGCACTGATGGGCGGTTCTGACACAGTGGGGTTGGAGCAGTGATGGGGGACGCTCGGGCAGTGCGGGGCCTCGAGGAGGCCCTGATGCCCCCAGGGAGGTCCCTGAGGGAGGGGACTCGTGCTGCCGGCAGGTAGGAGCTAGCAAGGTGGAGAGCGGGGTGGAGGCCCTCCTGGGGGAGGCGCAGCCTGGATAAAGGCTGGGAGCTGGAGGAAGCAGAGAGACACAGCCGAGCCGTGGGGAGCGCTGGTCGGGGAGAGCTTGGGGCCTTGAATGCCGGGCCCAGAAGCTGAGACTTTACCCAGGGGTGGCAGGAAGCATCAGAGGGTCCTACTCGCAGTGGGGCCAGTGTCTGCATCAGCACAGCCCGTGTAAGGAGACGGCGTGAGAGGTACCAAAGGGCTAGGAGGGAAAAGCAGTGTCCGCCGTCCCTGCCTCCCCACATGATCACAGTCACAGCTGGTGTTTATTGAGCGCTTACTGTATACCGGGTACCGTTAGCCACAGCCCTGTGAGGTCGAGACTGCCGTGATCCCCGTTTATCAGATGAGGAAACTGAGGCCCAGAGACGTCAAGGAGTCAGAGCCCCGCGCCCCTCCCCCCACGTCCCGGCCCACCCGCAGCATCCCCCGCCCTGCCCGTCCCCCTCCCCAGGTACGAGTCCTCGTCCGAGGACTCCAGCACTGCGGAGAACTTCTCGGACAATGAGAGCACAGAGGGCGAGGCCCCAGAGCCGGCGGGGAGGGCGCCGAGTGTGGCCGGAGCCCCCCAGCTCAGGCCCGAGGGGACGGCGGGAGCCAAGACCGGCCCGGAGGAGCGCCAGCCGTCTCGGGAGCCTCAGCACGTGCCCGCAGCCGATGGGGCGTCAGGGGCCAGTGCGGAGGAGGAGATCCGGTCAGTTTTCTGGGTGGGAGGAACTCAGGCAGGGCTGGGAGGCAACCCCCACCTCAGACCCCACCGTTCACTCCCTCTGAGGGACCCTCCCGTCAGTCATGCACACTTTAGTCTGAATTAGGGAGGAAGCACTTGCTCCCTCTGGGCCTCTGAAGGTCTGGAGGCTTTGATAAAGGCCTGAGAAGGGCAATTGGGCTTAGGACAGACTTGGCGTTTGTGCTAAGCCACCCACCTTCTTTGGGACATTTGCCCCACCTGCCTATGCTGTCTATGTCTCCTTTTGTTCCCTGATGATAAATCTGCCCTTGGGAAGATTTTCCATCTGCCACTGGCCACTTGGAATAAACTTCAGCCTGTGTCCACTTTCTCTTGGGGTCTGTGTGTCCCCATGTCTGCCCCTTGGGGTGCAGTGTAAAATCGTGTCCCTGGCGAAGGGGGATCTGAGATTCCACCCCTCAGGTCAGCCCTGGCAGGACCCGGTGAGTGTGTGGTGGGGAGCGTTGAGGCCCTCCTGGAGCACACCAGCTGGATGTGGGGGGCACCCAGGAGGCTGAGGGGGTGCTCGCCAGGTAGACTGCCCCTCGTCTGTCCCCGCAGGTTGGAGCTAAGCCCTGACCTCATCTCGGCCTGCCTGGCCCTGGAGAAGTACCTGGACAACCCCAACGCACTCACGGAGCGGGAGCTGGTGCGCGGGGCCAGGGCCTGGGCCCTCCTTCCCCTGCACCCCCACCCTGGCTTCCCCGCCTCCAGTGTCTCCAGTGCCTGCCTCCAGGGCACCCTGCGTCCGCGCCGGGAGCTGGGGGTGCCTGAGTCACGCGTGTTGGAGAGGGGCCCGCCAGCCCACCCACCTGGTCTTGGGTTCTGTTCCTTCGGGGCTTGAGGGAAGGGGGCTGCCACAGTGCCCTTTGCGGGGTCCACACTTGCCTCTGAGGATCGTTTCCGGATGGAGATGCTCACGCCTGTCTTGGGAGCGTGTCTGGGGTGGCCGTGTCTACACCTCCCTTTGGAGTCCAGTCCGGGATGGGGATCCTACACTTCTGACTCATCGGGGTGGGGGGGCCCATGCTTCTCCTTCCAGGCTCTGGCTCGGTCGGGGGTGGGTCCTGGGGCCGCCGCCGCCCTCACGCCCCCCTCCTCCCGACCCTTCCAGAAAGTGGCCTACACCACCGTGCTCCAGGAGTGGCTGCGCCTGGCCTGCCGGAGCGACGCCCACCCCGAGCTGGTGCGGCGCCACCTCGTCACCTTCCGGGCCATGTCGGTGCGGCTGCTCGACTACGTGGTCAACATCGCCGACAGCAACGGCAACACGGCGCTGCACTACTCCGTGTCGCACGCCAACTTCCCCGTGGTGCGCCAGCTGCTCGACAGCGGTGAGCCGCAGCGCCGCCCCGGGCTGGGGTCTGAGGGGGAGGCGCTGCCCCCCATCTGATGGGGCAGACGCTGATCTCCCGGTCTGATGGGGCGGACGCCGATCTCCCAGTCTGATGGGGGAGATGCGGCCCTCCCTGTCTGGTGAGGGAGATACAAGCCCTATCTGCAGCCCCAGGGTACTGGAAAAGGCAGACATGGTCTTCTGGAAGTCACAGGGACCTTCCCCCACCCTCAGGGTTACACCCCTGTATAAGGAAGGCCCCACCTCTGTAGCCCTCCTCTCAGAGGACGTGCCTCCAGTCTGGGACGCGGAGAGAAGATGTGGCCCTCAATTTGGCAGGCAGAAACTAGCCCTTCCTAGTCTGATGGGGGAGACACGGCCCGCAGTCTGATGGGGGAGGCACGGCCCGCAGTCTGATGGGGGAGGCACGGCCCGCAGTCTGATGGGGGAGGCACGGCCCGCAGTCTGATGGGGGAGACACGGCCCGCAGTCTGATGGGGGAGGCACGGCCCATCTGAAGAGCGATTGGCTCTTCCAGGTTAATGGGGGAGACAGCTCCTGCTCTCAGCCCTGAACGTGGGTGCCAGGGTCAGGGGCCCCCGTCTGGTGGAGGAGGCCCAGTGTCCACTTGGAGGAGCCCCTTGTCTACTGAGGGCACCATGGAGATGGGGACCCCGGGGGCAGCCTGAGAAGAGGGAGAAAGTAGGCCGCCCCGAGACGGATGGAGGAGGCGCGACGCCCAGGGCTCGTCATGACAGAGTGGAACACGGCCTCCAGTCTGACGGCGGAGACGCGGCCCGGTCCTCGGGGCCCCGCCCCCGGCCTCCAGGCGGGCCCGGCCGGCATCGGCGGGGTGTGAGGGCTCATGTCCTCCTTGCCCCCCAGGCGTCTGCCAGGTGGACAAGCAGAACCGGGCCGGCTACAGCCCCGTCATGCTCACGGCCCTGGCCACCCTGAAGACCCAGGAGGACCTCGAGACCGTCTTGCAGCTCTTCAGGCTCGGGGACGTCAACGCCAAAGCCAGCCAGGTACGCTGCAGACGTCCCCACTGCACAGACGAGGAGACCGAGGCCCCGAGAAGCAGAGTCATTTCCCAGGTCAAACTGGGGGGGGGCGGGGTTTGACCCCAGGGGTCAGCCCTGGAGCCCCGTTCTTAGGACCCGCCTGCTAGGCTGCCTCTGATGGAAACGGGGCGGGGGTGTGGGAGGACGTGGGGGCCTCCGCCTTCCTTCGTCCCGTCCCGCATCCTGCGTGGTGGCTCACTGAGGGGCAGCAGGGTGCCGGGGGCTCACGTGGTGGACGAGCAGGCACGGTCCCCACCTCCCGAGGCTCGCCAGCCAGCCAGGCGTCTCAGGCAGCACGCAGGGGCGGGGCGGTCTGGGACTCGGGGGCTGCGGGAAGCCACCAGGGGCGTCTGAGGGCAGTGGCGGGGCCTGCTCCCTGGTTTGAAATCTCCCTTCGGCTGCATATTGAGGAGCAGAAGCTGGGAGACGGTGGGGGCGACCGAAGCGTGGAGGGTGTCCGGGCATAAGAGCAGCCAGGACTCCAAGGGGACAGCAAGGAGGGGCAGGATTTGCAACAGCCTAAAAGCAGAGGAAGAAAAGCAGGGGCCAGCCTGGTGGCGTAGCGGTTAAGTTCACACACTCCGCTTTGGTGGCCCGGGGTTCGCAGGTTGGGATCCCGGGTGAGGACCTACACACTGCTAATCAAGCCATGCTGAGGCAGCCACCCACATACAAAATAGAGGCAGATGGGCACAGATGTTAGCTCAGGGCCAATCTTCCTCAGCAGAAAAAAAAGGGGGGGGTGTGCCATGATGGCACATAACAGGAGCAGACCCTGCTTGCTGTTTTATCAATTTCCTTTTTCTTTAATTAAAAACAGTTTTTAGTAGTTTCCTTTTTTTTAATTGAGGTGAAATTCACATAACGTAAGATTAACCCTTTTAAAGCATACAATTCAGGGGTATTTAGTACATTCGCAATATTGTGCAACCGCCAGCGCTATCTACTTCCAGCACATTCCCATCACCCCAAAAGGAAACCCGGCCCCCGTTAGCAGGCACTCCCCGTTCTCCCCTCTCTGCCCGGCGCCTGGCAGCCACCAGTCTGCTCTCTGTCTCGACGGGTTTGCCTATTCTGGACATTTCATATAAACAGAATCGTATATGTGGGCTTTTGTGTCTGGCTTCTGTCACCGAGCATAATGTATTTCAAGTTCGTCCGTGCCGCATTTCTTTTTAAGGCTGAACAGTATTCTGTAGTGTGTGTATACTATAATTTGTTTATCCGTTCGTTCACTGATGAACATTGATTTAATTTTTATTTTAACTGATGTACAGAAAAGTATACACATCTTAGCTCCATAAATTTTTACTTCTTTACCCCTGCGAGTTAGGAACCTCCTTTACGTGGCCGTGGGGCTGGGGAGGCAAGCAGCTCTCCCTGAGGAGGAGACATTTAAGCTGAGACCTGCAGCAAGTGCAAAGGTCCAGTGGTAGGAAGGATGGTTTGAGATCCAGAAGGAGGCCAGCAAGTAGGGTGCTGTTAGCATCAGGGTACTCGGGAACCACGGAAGGTTCTGGAGCAGGGGTGTCACCTGCGTGGTCCATAACCGTGTTCCTTGCTCTGCCCAGGCAGGGCAGACAGCCCTGATGCTGGCGGTCAGCCACGGGCGCGTGGACGTGGTCAAGGCCCTGCTGGCCTGCGAGGCGGATGTCAATGTGCAAGACGACGACGGCTCCACGGCCCTCATGTGCGCCTGCGAGCAGGGCCACAAGGAGATCACGGGGCTGCTGCTGGCCGTGCCCAGCTGCGACATCGCGCTCACTGACCGCGTGAGTCCCCACCCAGGCGCACCCGGGGAGGGCGGGAGCACAGCGCTGGGCGTCGCCATAGCAACGGCTGCTTTGCAGGACGGGAGCACGGCTCTGATGGTGGCCTTGGACGCGGGGCACAGTGACGTCGCGTCCATGCTGTACTCCCGCATGAACATCAAGTGCTCGGTGAGTCCCCGGGCAGGGCAGGGGCGGGGGTTCTGGGGGGGCGGAGGTTTACGAAGAGCTGATGGCGTGTGGCACCCACGCCAAGTTAGAAACACACAAGCAAATCAGTGTTTCACAGCCATCAGATGGTCAGTGCTGGGAAGACATATAAAACAGGGTAAGAGGGACAGCAACCTTGGAAAGAGGTGACATTTGAGCTGCCACCTGAGGAAGAGAGGGAGCGAGAGTGTGGCTCTCTGTGCAGCAAGAACAGCCAGTGCAAAGGCCCTGAGGCAGGAGCACGCCTGGTGTGTCTGAGGAGCATCTTGGAGCCCAGTGGGAGGAAGAGAGGGCAGGGAGGTGACACCGCAGATCACACAGGGCCTTGGGGGCCCCAATGAGGACTCGGGCTTCTACTCAAGCCTGTCAGTGTGTTGAAGGCCTCGAGAAGCCTCACTGTAAGGAAACCTCACCTAACCGTGTCTTACCCAGCCTTTCTATCTGACCACGGAAATCTGGGGTTTTTAAAAATCACGCCTGTTAGCAAAACACTCTCTGGAAGCATCACGGGAGGATGATACTGATACTTGGTGTGCGCTAAGTGCCTGATGGAGGAGACGGGCACTCCTCATAGGTCCCCCAAACGATACCCTTGTCTGATGGAGGAGACCATCCCTTCCAGTCTGATGGAGGAGGCCATGCCCTCCAGTCCCATGGACTATATTAAGTGCCTCCCAGGCATGGTTTCTTAAACCCTCCACCATAGCCCGATTCGGTTGCATACAGAACTGTTATTATTGCCATTTTTCAGCTGGGGAAGCTGCAGTTTAGAGAGGTTCCCTCCCTGGTTCCAGGTCTCACATCCAGGAAGGGTGGAGGTCCGGGGTCCATCTGACTCCAGACCTCGGGCAGGAGCCTCGCTGCCCCCTTCTCACCCCCACCTGGCACTTGCCCCGGCACCCTGAGGCATGTCTGAGGCCGGGTTCAAGGGTGGCCTGGTGGGTGTCGACCACAGAAGCTCCCCAGACGGTCCAGGAGAGAGAAGGTCGCTGAGACCATAAGCCATCAGTCTCCCACCTGGCTTCCAGGTTCTTCCTGGGGCTCTGAGTTTTTCCGGCTTCACTCCCCAGGGTGTCAGGACACCTCGGCCTCAGTTGTGCTTAGGGGATCAGCTTTGGGCCTCAGTTTCCTCAACTGGAAGATGGGGGCGATGGGGTCAGGTGATGGCCTCCTGTCTGATCTGTGGTCCTGCGGGACGAACCCCAACCCTCCAGCATTGTCCACCTGGCCCACTGCCATCGCCTCTGTCCTGGTCCCCTGACCCCCACCCTCTCTGCCCCCTCCCATCTGTTCTCTCCCCAGCAGCCAGAGGTCACTGTGAACACCCGAGTCAGGGCACATCCCTCCTCTGCTCACAGCCCTCCATGGTTCCCACCCTATTTGGAGAAAAAGCCACCAAAGCCCGCCAAGCCCTGCACAGTCACCCTCACCTTCCCTCACTCTCCTTCCCCTCCCCTCGCTCACTCTGCTCCTGCCTCGGGGCCTTTGCACTTGCTGTGTCCTCTGCCTGGCATGCCCTGCCCCCTCAGCTGGCCCCTTGGCATCCTTCAGCTCAGACATCACCCTCCCTGCCCACTCGCTCTCCACTTTCATCCCCTTCCAGCCGTCACCCCCGAGGAAGATCCTCTCCCGCGTTCCTTTGTGTGCTTCTCCCCCTCAGTGTCGCCTCCTTGAGGCCCAGGGACGAGGCCTCTTGTTCACTCCCGGCGGCCACTGGGCCAGCCAACAAAGTCGGCGCCTCGCGGGCCTTGGAAAGGATGCCAAATGAGGAATTGTGCTTCTTGTTTCAGTTCGCCCCGATGTCAGATGACGAGAGTCTTGCATCTTCCTCCGCAGAAGAGTAGCCGCGAGGGGCCAGGCGCCTCCTGCGGGCCTGCCGGCCCCAGAGCAAACCGTCCCTCCCCTGGGCCCTCGTCCTCGTCTCCTCCCCGCCAGCCCCCACCCGTACCCACCAAGGCCCCATCTCAAGGGCAAGTGGGTTTTTCTGCTTCCCAGGGGACCCCCGCAGCGACACGACTCCAGCCTCCAGCGGGTTCTTCCCAGCACCCCGTTCAGAGCAGCCGCAGCACCAACAGACGCTGACTTCTTACAGAAATGGGCGCCAGGGGCTGATGCTGGGGGGTGGGTTTATGAGGAACATCGAGAACAATCAACTGGCAATTACGGATGGAGGAGGATGAGACGGAAAAATATCGGATTTTGGGATCATCGTCGGGGGAGGGGAGGAAAATCCTACTACTTGTTGCCAAATTTGAAAGTCACTGGAATCGCCTACTTTCATTTTAATCCTGAATGTCACCATGCATGGGTCACGTCTGGAGTGGCTGTACGCCCCCCTCGCCCCCCACATTTAATTGTCTGGTATATAATAGTGTTTTGTCCGCTCCCCCCGCCGACGGCTCTCTTGGGAGACATTTCTTGTGGTCTCGTCACAGAATAGATTCTGGCCTGGTCACCCGGGGCAGGAAGCCCACTCGTTTCTTCTGCCTTCTTGCTGCCACTGTCACCCCCATTCCGGTGGGGGGGCTCAGGACCCAGCAGCCGAGATGTGCATTTCGCCTCGAGAAATGAACCAGAATCTGTCCCCTCCGCGCATGGAGGCCCTGGCCCCTGTTAATTTTCCTAGAAAATCCTTCAGGGCTGGAGATGCAGGAAGTGAATCCGGTTCCCAGAGCGGCTGCTGAGTCCCCGGGCTTGGAATCCTGGTGACGGGCCGTCCTCGTCCTCCCCAGACTCCAGAATCGCTCTCCTCCCAGAAAACAAGGCCTGTGCTTGTTGGCAAAGCCGAGGGCGAGCTCCGAAGGCCCCATGTGTGCACGATTAAAAGTTGGCTGCTCCCCGAGGACAAACTTAAAGAGACAGGCCTTTGCCGAAAACCAAACAAGGGCCAGCTGGGCTTCGTAACAACCTCCAGGCTTTCCGGAGCCGCCTGGAACGGAGCCTGCTGGAGAGCGGGCTCGCCAGACACGCAGTTTCCTGCCGTCCTCCTGGGTGCCCAGAATCTCAGCATAGTTTCTCTCCTGTTCCTTCCTTCTGTGAACCAAAAAAAAGGGGTTGGGTTCTGAGCCTCAGAAAGTGCCTTGGGTCAGGGGAGTAAGATCCACAGCAAATAGGTGTCCTGCCCTCTCTGGTCCAGCGCTCAGCTCAGCCGCCAGGGTGGAAGCCAGACCCAGCTGGACAGACTGAGTCCTCAGAGCTTATGTGTCCATTCAATAAAGCAGGGTGCTGGCGTCCATCCTAGAAAAGTAGGTTTCTCAGCTCCATGGAGTCTGGCTTGCTTTGATTTTCATTGAAGGGATTTACCTAAGACGAGAGAGCTTGGATGTTCAAAGGAGACACCCTAGATTGTGTGTGCGTGTCAACTGGAGAGAAAGCCAAAACCAAGCTGATTGACCACTGGTGTCTGATGGAAGGCCACGGTACAAGAGTTGTGTGCCTGGGTGTCCAGCCCCGGAGTCAGCGGGTGCGTTTATTTGAAGCTTCTAGAAGTTTCTAGAAGAATCCCTGCATTCCCTTCTCCCTCGGGCCCACTGGGCTTGGCATGGTGGGCTACAGGGGGTCCTGCCTTTGTCCCAGTTCTCTTCTCACATGTATCCATGACCTTTAACCTCACTCTGACCATGGTACGTCCATAAATACAGTATTACACTTAAATGAAGTATTCCTTTTTGTAATCGTTTTTAGAAGGTAAAGGAATTTAATAAAGCTACCTTATGATAAGCTGACGTGTCTGTATCTGGTCTTTGTCACACTGTCCTCCTCCTCAAGCTTTAAAATGGATCTCTATCAAAATGGACTTAATTTGAACAATGTTCAAACAAAGCTACAGAGAAGTTACCAGACTATTGCAATAAACTCCCTTATGTTCTGCCCTAGACCAGCCTGTCCGATACCATAGCCACTAGCCACGTGTGGCTGTTTCCATTTAAGTGTAAATTATAATTAATTTGTGCTCAATAGCCACACATGGCTGGTGGCTACTGTACTGGGCTTCAAAGTTAGAGAACATTGTCACTGTGACGGAAAGTTCTGATGAACACCCACTGCAAACACCTCAGGAAAAATCTTTACTCATTTTTTTTGCCTCATGACAAAATAATTGACAGTGATTGTAGAAGGTAAAATTCAAACAATACAGAAAACGTTTGGCATAGTGGAGGGTGCTGTGCTCCCACTTGGTAGAAATGCCTGCCATTGTCAACACTCTGGAGTATCTCCTGTCAAACTTTTTTCTAAAAGGTTGGGTCTTAAAATATTTCATTTTGCTGTTTTATTTTTTAGTGAAGTATCATATGCATACATTTTGAGCACAAGTCCGTGTGCAAAAGTGTACAGCTCCACGGCTTTCACAAACTGAACATCCCTGAGTCCCCAGCGCCAGGACAGGAAGTGGAGCATCCTCGGGGGCCCCCCAGCCCCAGGGCCCCCCCTCACTCCCCCAAAGGGAGATCGATGATCGATGATCGCCCTCCTGACTTCTGACTTCCTCAGTTTTTCCTCTGGACTTTTTCACCAGGAGATAATGGGTGGCTTTCAGAGGTTGTAGGAAGTCGCAGAAATTTTATGCAACCTCGTGTATTTCTGAGCAGAAGGTCCAGTGTTCTTGTCAGCTTCCCAGAGTGGTTTGTGACCCGAGAAGGGGCTTTTTGGGGGAAAAAAAAAATTCTTTCTCGCAATTCCCAGGACCATTTTGTCATCATCTTTATTATCTTGTTCAGCTCAAGCTTAAGACCCCATTGCCCACCACCTCCCCGATTCCTGCTTTGCCTTTTTGATGTATATTTTTATTTTTAATTGTGGTAAAATACACATAACATAAAATTTACCATCTTAGCCATTTGTAAGTGCACAGTTCAGTGGCATTAAGTACATTCACATTGTTGTGCAACCATCACCCTCATCCCTCTCCAGAATCTCCATCCCGTTAAACATTAACTCTTCATGGCCCTCCCCCAGTCCCTGGCACCCACCGTCCTACTTTCTGTCTCTAAATTTAACTACTCTAGGAACCTCACAGAAATGGAATCATGCAGTATTTGTCTTCTGTGTCTGGCTTCTTTCATTTGGCATAATGTCCTCAAGATTCATCCACGTTGTACCATGTGTCAGAACGTCCCTCCTTTTAAAGGCTGCATAATATTCCATTGTATGGATGGACCACATTTCATTTATCCATTCATCCATCAATGGACACTGGAATTGCTTCCACGTTTTGCTTATTTTAAATAATGTTGGGTGTACAAATCTCTCTCCAAGTCCCTGCTTTCAATTTTTGGTGTATATACTAGAGGTGAGACTGCTGGCTCATATGGTAATTCTATTTTTAATTTTTTGAGGACCCGCCATATTGTTTTCCATAGAATCTGCACCATTTGACATTCCCATCAACAGTGCACTGGATTCCAATTTCTCCCCATCCCCTCCAACACTTGTTATTTTCTGTTTTGGGTGTTTTTTTATAGTAGCCACCCTAATGGCTGGGAGGTGGTAATTGATTTGTGTTTGGAAGGGAGGTGAAGGGCCTTTTTTGACAGAAGCATTTATATTTGGCAGGCTATGGTTGTGTAAACTCTTGGCTTATCTCTTGAACATCCCACCCCCGCTGATAAGAGAGAGCTATCATTAGCCCATGGCTCAGAAAGGTTAAGAACTTGCCAAGGTCACAGGTAAACTGCAGAGCCAGAAACAGACCACAGGTCTTATCTCCTCTTTATTTTGCTCTGCATTGTTATGTAACCCACTGCCTTCAGGCACAGAGAAGGTGATTCCCTGCCACCAAAGGTCACTCAGCTGATGGTGACAGAGCAACCTCAGCAACAAATGCTCTGCCATCAGGAGGGTGAGCTATGCTCACCATGAACGCTGACTGGGGAGCTGGCTCCAAGCCGGGACACCGATATTTCTTCAGGAAACAATGAAGCTGTCATCACTTCTACATCTGCTGGCTGTGCCCGAGACAAAGGCTGGGAGCTTCTCAACCTGGGGATGGCCTTCTGGGGTCCTGAACCCCAAAGCTGCCCAAAACCCAAAAATGTGTGGAAGTTGGATATATTTTTCAAGGAAGAGCCTCTCTTGTTGCTTTTGTCTGATTTCAGAGGGATCTGTGACCTGGGAAAAACTAAATATATTAGTCTTAAGGCTGTCCCTGGCTACGTGATCACTGTAAAAATATAAAAATACGAGTAGCCTCTGGGGTCTTTGCAAAAACTCTCTCCTGGAAGTAAGCCCTGAGGAGGAGGGTGGCCCCAGGCCTGGGGTTGGGGACCTGTCAGATTCCTGATGGTAAATCAAAATCATATTTCCTGACAGCTCTGTTGTGGCTTCGCGTCTCCCTCCCTGGCTGTGCCTTTTCTGTCTGTCTTGCTGGCTTCTCCTCTTTTCTGTGATTTCTAGAATTGGAGGGTCTCAGAGCTTGGTCCTTGGACTCTCCCCTCCATACTGTCCCCCAGGGTGGTGTCATCTGATCTCGCCTGCACCCTGACAACCCCTAGATTTTTATCCCCAGCCCAAATGTCTCTGTGGACTCCTATAGCCAAGCAACCATCACCTGGATAGCTGCATGTGGCCATATCCCAGGCACTGGGAACTGCCCCAAACTTTTCATTTCCTGCAGCCCCTCCCCTCCAAGCCTGTTCCTTCCCATCCCGGCCACTAGCACCACCACCCATCCGGGTATTTGGGCCAAACACCCAGGAAGCATCCTCTTCCTCTTCCTCATTCTGTATATCCAGCCTGCCGGCAAGTTCTCGCAATTCTGGAAGATCTGGAGCCAGTCCACTCCATAGCTCTCCCCTACTTAATGCCTTCCACTGTTTCCCAATACACCAGAATAAAGCTTCAGGCCCTCGGCAGCCCTCTCGCTCACTCTTCTCCAGCCACACCAACCTCCTCGCTATTCCTTAAACTTCCTCACCTCACGGACCTTTGCGTTTGCTCTTTCTTCCGCCTGGAGCTTTGTTTCCCAGCACCTTTCATCACTCAGGTCCCAGGTCATATGTGCCCTGCTCAGGGAGACCATCCCTGGCCACCTGACCTAAAGCCAATTCCCTGCCCTGGATGCCAACTCTGGTGACTCTACCCGACGACCCTGTTTTACCACCTTCGTAGCAGGTGTTCCATCTAAAATGATCCTGTTCATTTGTTTCCTTGCTTCTCGGGAGGTTTCGCCACCAGAGCAGTGGCTTTCTACAGTTTTTTATGTGACCTACAGTAAGATACAAATTTCACATGTGACCCAGCAATCCAGGTGTTATGGCTGTGTAACAAATTACCCCCAAGTTTACTGGCTTTAAACAACAGCATTGATCTTGCTCACAAACCTGCAGTTTGAGCAGGGCTTGCTGGGGACAGCTCATCTCTGCTCCTCCGGGTGTCAGATGGGACGGCTCAAAGGCTGGGGCTGGAATCATCTCAGTGCTCACTCACTTATTGTCTGGTGGTTGATGCTGGCTTCAGCTAGGACCTTATCTGGGAGACTCTTCACATGGCTTGGGCTTCCTCACAACATGGCAGCTGGGCTCCAAGAGAGGGTATCCCGAAATTGAGAGTGAGGGAGAGGGCAAGCTGGCACCAGGCAAAAGATGTATGCTGGTTTCTGACCTAAGCTTGGAAGCCACGTCCTATTTGTTGCACAAAGTCCTGCTCAAGTTCAAGAGGAGGGGAATTAGAGTCTGCCTAATGATGATGAGTGGCAAGGTTGGAACTATTTCTGTAGCCAGTTTTGGAAAAAACAATCTGCCACTCCCAGGACACAAATGCAGAGTGGGAGTTTCCCAAAACGATTGTTTAACTTTCCATACACAATGCACTGATTTTTTTCCCCTTGTATTTTAGAAAATGCTGGTCATGATCTGCTGAATTGATTTCTTTATCTCAGTTTCACAAACATGTCACAAAAGTGAGCCCTTTATTTTTCCACGGTTGTAACCTGGAACACAGCATGGTGTCAGGTGCAAGGAAGGCACCTCACTGGCTAGCATCGTATGTGTGTTTCATTTAATACCTATATAGTGCTTACTGAATACCAGGTACCATCCTCATTTAATCCTCACGCCAACTCAGAAGTAGGCACTATTATGGCCCTCATTTTACTGAGGAGGAAAGTGAGGCACAGAGAGGTTGAAGTAATTTGCCCTCGTAACACAGCCATTAAGTGGCAAAGCTGGGATTCGAACCCCATCAACCTGGTGTGCAGACTCCATTTTGCTATGCAGCCTCTTACAGAACTTACTTATTTATTGTTTAATGTGAATCTCCCACGCACAGTGTAGAACGTCACCTCCACAAGAAGCCCGCCCTGTGTGCAACACCCAGTCTCTGGATCTAAGCAGAAACAGACAGCGTCAGCCCCTTGCAGCCGCTTACCAGTCTGCGCAGGCGCATCAGGCAGGACTCCCGGAGGCGCCCCCTCCCTGCGCCGATTGGCCATCGCCGATGACTGACGGAGGAGCCGGCGCAGGCGCGCTAGGTCAGACTGAAGCGGCCGCCCATTCGCTGGTGACTGACGGAGGATCAAGCCAATGGAAACGGGTCTCCCCGGGAAGGGGGCGGGCCCCGCGGGCAGTCAAATTCGCGCGGGATTGGTCCCGGCGTAGTCATGGCGGCCTTCCGAGACATGGAGGAGGTGAGCCAGGGGCTGCTGAGCCTGCTGGGCACCAACCGCGCCGAGGCGCAGCAGCGGCGGCTGCTGGGGCGCCACGAGCAGGTGGTGGAGCGGCTGCTGGAGACGCAAGACGGTGCGGAGCAGCGGCTGCGAGGTGAGGCCGGGGCCAGGCCGGGCCCGCGCCTGCGTGATGGGAGGGGCGGCCAGCCGGCCTCGAGACCCGCTCCCTGCCGGGCGCCCCCATCCCCTGCCCTCTTCCTCGGTGGGACCAGCGGGTGGGCGCTGCCCGCTCTGAGCCGCAGTTACCCCACCCGTGAAATGGGCTTCAGGACAGCAGCCCCCTCCCAGGGGTTTAGCGGGGAATATAGGAGCTCGCAGGGCCTGGCCCCATTCTGAGCATTCCGCGAGCAGGAGCTGGGGGACTCAGGGTCTGAACTGGGGCTCAGGAATCCCAGCGCCCCCACTTCCTGAAGTTGCTCAGATGTTTTCCTGAGCACCTGCTGCGTGCCTGGCATAGGGCCAGCCTTGGGGTGGCAGCAGGGACAAAAGAGACAGAATACCTCGGGGGGGGGCTGATATGTTAGTGGGGGGAGGACAGAGGATAAACAAGAAAAATGGGTCTCTCGGGAGGCGATGGGCTAAGGAGAAAAGCTGGTCGTGTAGGGAGGAGTGGTGATGTTTGGGGGCGGGTCCGCGAAGGCCTTATAAGAAGAGGATGCTTTAGCAGAAACTCGAAGGAGGTGAGGGAGGGAGCCTGCGCTATGGTGCGGATTAAATGTAAGACACCGTCAGATGTAAGGCTTTGAAAAGGGAAAAAACCTCTGCTAATAAATGTCTTAACGCGCTGCAGAGAGGCCTAGATCCAGCCTCTCCTGCAGGTGGGAGGGGCTCGCCCAGAGCATCCGACCTGGCTTGCAGCTGTTAACTCAGGAGCCCTGTGGTCCCAGCTCCGTGGCTTCCCTCTCAAGCCTCAGTTTCCTCATCTGTGAAATGGGCCTGTTAATAGCACCCATTGTTGCTGCTATTCTCAGTGCCAGGGCTTTTTTTTGTTTTTGAGGCTACAAAATTAGGGGGGGGGGTAAAATTGAGATAACATAAGATTCACCATTGTAACCATTTGTAAATGCCCAGTTCAGTGGCATTGAATACATTCACATTGTTGTGCAACCATCCCCACCATCCATCTCCAGAACTTTCTCATCTTCCCAAACTGAAACTTAATCTCCATTAAACTCCCTGTGCCCCTTCCCCAGCCCCTGGCATCCAGCATTCTACCTTCTGTCTCTATGAATTTGACTCCTCTAGTGACTTCATGTAAGTGGAATCATGCAATATTTGTCCGTGGTGTCTGGCTTATTTCACTCAGCACAATGTTCTCAAGGTTCATCCATGGTGTAACGTGTCAGAATTAATTTTTTGTGTGTGTGTGAGGAAGATTAGCCCTGAGCATCTGATGCCAAGCCTCCTCTTTTTGCTGAGGAAGACTGGCCCTGGACTAACATCTGTGCCCATCTTCCTCTATTTTGTATGCGGGTCACCGCCACTGCATGGCCGCCGATGAGTGGTGTAGGACCGAACCCGGGCTGCCAAAGCGGAGCACGCCAAACTTAACCACTAGACCACGGAGCCGGCCCCCATCTCTTCTTTCTTTCTTCTTCTCCCCTCCATTTGTGGTTTGGGGAGAAGATCAGCCTGACCCAGCCTGGGTTGTAGCAGAACAGACGGATCGGGGCTAGGGAGACGAGAGTCGGTGTTCTAGAGAGCTGGGGCTCTGATCAGAAGGATCCAGTTCAGATCCCAGCCTCGGAGCTCCGTGCCTGTGGATAAGCTCCCTGAGACTTGCTGTTCGTCAGGAGGGCAAGTGGAGGAGAAGGGGTGGGAAGGCTGCGGAAGAGAGCCAGACCCTCAGCTCTCCCCACAGGAAATCAGCAGGCACCATCTAAGACAGACAAACCGAGAAATAGCCGCGTAAGCAAATTATGTAGAAATATGAAAGTCAGTGCCAGAGAAAACAGCGAGGAGTTGAAAGTGGCTGCTTCAGGGGAGTGGAGAGCCTTCGAGAGAGGCTGTGTGTGTTGAAATTTGCACAACCCTATACAGGTAATACTTGGATTAAAAATTAACTTAATGGAAGTTCGTGAACACTTAAATGCCGGCCCTTTGGGGGGCATGCTCATCTGTGCCTTCTCTGAGGTGGCCGGTTTCTCTGACTCTCTAGAAAGGAACATAGTAACCTTCTTAGGGTGTTTTTGATCTTTCTGGATGTTCAACACGTGTTTATTCTGAGTAGGTGCTGGCCATATAAGGTGACTATGAGATACAGTCGCTGATTCGAGGAAGAAAGAGGAGGAATAAATAATTCAGTGTGGTAGGGGCCGTCATGGGAGAGGAGGGGGTCCTGCTGCCCGAGTCAGGCATCACCCAGGACGTCTGGAAGGCTGGGAACAGTGTGCTCGGTGGGCAGGAGCATAGGCATCCCACAGAAGACAGGCAGCACAGGCCCAGGACTGTGAAAAACGTGGCCTGTTTGCAGAATGGTGAGGCGTCTTTGTGGCCAGAGCAGAGATATTTAGCAGCACATGGTGTGGTGACAAACAGGGAGAAAGGTGGCTGGCAGGGATGGTGAAGATGCTCACAGGGACCTGGGTCTTATCCTGGAGACACTGGGGAGCCATGGCAGGTCTCTGAGCAGGGGAGTGACTGCACATGGGGCCTCTCAGGCAGCCACTCTGGGGCAAAGAGAAGGGATTGGCAGATTGGAAACGGGAGAGGCCACAGCAGGGAGGTGGCCCCGCGGGGACGAAGGACCGGGCCCAGGAAAGCGAGGGGACCTGCCAGGCCTGGACTGCTAACTGGATGCAGAAAGCGAGTCAGCCCCGGGCTCCTTGCTCGGGCGACAGGCTCGGCCGTGACGTTATGAATAAGACTAGGTGTGCAAAGAAGGAGTGCTTTTTTTTGTTGTTGTTGTTAAAGGGTTCTTTCTTAAATTGTAGTTTATCTTACTGTTTACTAAGTCAGTTCTTCTAAACAAAGCTATTGATATTTTTTTTTATTGATGTTTTAATGGTTTCCAACATTGTGAAATTTTTGGATTGTACATTTTTGTTTGTCCATCACCATATATATGACTCCCTTCACCCCTTGTATTTGTCCCTGGTGTCTGGCTTATTTCACTTAACATAATACACTCCAGGCCCATCCATGTTGTTGCAAATGGGACGATTTTGTCTTTTTTTATGGCTGAGTAGTATTCCATTGTATATATATACCACATTTTCTTAATCCAATCGTCAGTCGAGGGAAGAAGGAGTGCATTTTATCGTTATTAATTCTGGTGGGTTCAGATGTGTTTCTGTGGAAGGAAAGCACCTGTGTGAGGTCCAGGTGGACCCATCTGCTGGGCGTTAGGAAGTAGGACGACGGGTCAGGGAGCTCCAGGCAGGGAAGTGGGGACCTCGCCGTCGATGGGTGGTCCAGGCTGCCCCGGGGAAGGACAGACTCCGGGGCGCCCCGTTGAGGGGTCGCAGCCCTCCCTCCGCCCCGCAGAGATCCTCGATGCTGAGAAGGAAGTGGCCCAAGGCCTTCTTGACGCTAAGGAGCAGGCGCAGCAGGCGGGCGCTGAGTTGCAGCAGCTCGAGGCCGAGCTTCAGAGGGCCGGCGAGGAGGACGCCCGTCTGAAGGCCAGCCTCCTATATCCTTTCCTGCGTGCGTGGAAACTCGGGGCGCGGCTGGGGGGCGGGAGCTCGTTCACACCAGAAAACATGCTCGGAGCCAAAGGCCCTCGCCCGGCCTGGCGGGTTAGCACGTGCAGCCCTCCCGCCACAGCGAGGCTCCTTAACTGCCAGCCCCACTCAGCTCACCCGGGAGCTGGAGGAGCTCAGAGAGATCGAGGCCGACCTGGAGAGACAGGAGAGGGGCGTGGACGAGGACACGACGGTCACCATCCCCTCAGCCGTGTAGGTGCCACAGCCATGTGTGCAAGCACGTGTCTGCGTGTGTGAGTGCGTGTCTGTGTGTGATTTCATTCCCACAGCTTTTTGCTGGAGTCGACGCTGGAGTAACTTTCTCTTCTCTTGTTTTTGTCTCCTTGTACAGGTACGTGGCTCAGCTCTATCACCGAATCAGTAAAATCGAGTGGGATTATGAGTGTGAGCCGGGGATGATCAAGGGCAGTATCCTTTGTGGGGAAAGGGGGACCCTGTGCACTGTTGGTGGGAGTGTCAATGGTGCAGCCGCTGTGGGAAGCAGTACGGCAGATCCTGAAAACATGAGACGTGGGATTACCACGTGAGCCAGCAATTCCACTTCTGAGTATAAACGCCCAAAAGAATCAAAAGCAGGGACTCGAATAGATGTTTGTGATCTCATGTTCATAGCAGCCTTTTCACAACAGCCAAAAGGCAGAAGCAACCCAGGTGTCCATCAGAAAAGGAGTGGATAGGGGCCGGCCCTGTGGCGTAGTGGTTAAGTGCACGCGCTCCGCTTTGGCGGCCCGGGGTTTTCAGGTTTGGATCCTGGGTGTGGACCTACACGTCGCTTGTCAAGCCATGCTGTGGTGGCGTCCCACATATAAAGTAGAGGAAGATGGGCACAGATGTTAGCTCAGGGCTGATCTTCCTCACCAAAAAAAAAAAGAAAGCTGGTAAATAAGATGTGGTCCATCTATATGATGGAATATTATTCAGCCTTAAAAAGAAAGGAAATTGTGACACATTACACCATGGATGAACCTTGAGACATGATGCTGAGTGAAATAAGCCAGACACAAAAAGACAAATACTGTGTGATTCCACTCGTAGGAGGTCCCTACAGGAGTCACATTCACAGAGACAGAGAGTAGGATGGTGGGGCCAGGGATGGGGGCAGGGGGATGGGGAGTTGGTGTTTAATGGGGACAGAGTTGCAGTTTGGGAAGATGAGAAAGTTCTGGAGATGGATGGTGGTGATGGTTGCACAACAATGTGAGTGTACTTAATGCCACTAAACCAGACACTTAAAAATGGTTACGATGAGGGGGCTGGCCCCATGGTCTAGTGGTTAAGTTTGGCGCGCTCCAGTTCAGCGGCCCAGGTTTGGTTCCCGAGCGTGGACCTACACCACTCATCAGCCACGCTGTGGTGGTGACCCTCATACAAAATAGAGGAAGATTGGCACAGATGTTAGCTCAGGGCAAATCTTCCTCAGCCAAAAAAACGTTTATGATGGTAAATTTTATGTTATATATATTTACCACAATTTTAAAAAAACAGTGCATTATCAGAATTTAACTTTCCGTGAAAATTTGTTTCAGTCTCCAAATAGCTGAAGAAAACTTTTAAAGGCAATCTCCTTCCCCGGGGGCCGTGGGAGGGCTGTGTGTGCTTGGATTCCTTACATCTGCCCGCAGTCCATCACGGCCCCAGCGTCGCCCAGCCCTTGCACCTGGACGGCACCCAGCTCTCCAAGAAATTCGTGAGCGACTATCTCTGGAGCCTGGTGGACACGGAGTGGTAGCCCGGAGCCCCGTGCACTGCGTCCGGCGCGCAGGAGTCTGCCTGGTGGGTGGGCGGTGCCTCCGTGGTGAGATCAGCTTGAAATGAAATGTTGATCCGTAAATGAGTTTTTTACTGGATTGCTTCCCCGTCCCCCGCTCCCGATTTCAGCCTCAGATGCTGGACCGTCCTCGGCCAGGTAACTGTAGCAGACTGACTTCACTGTGCTGGGCCCGCGACTGCCCGTCAGTGACAACACGGGACAGATGCCACCGTAGTAAACAGTGACAAAGTCCAGGTCTTTGTCATTCGTGATTCAAGTTCGGCCCTTTGTTATCCATTCCGGGCACGTCTTTGAGCGCCACTGTGTACCCAGAACGGCTGGGTACCCAAGACACAGATGGAGGGGCAAGGATCCCCTCGGCTAATGGTGGAGTCGAGAGTGATCAGGTGCCACCCTTGAGCTAGAGAGAGTCCAGGGCAGGGCCCTGCTGCCTGGAGGATGCAGGCGACTTTTGTGGCGAGACTTGAAAGGATGAGTCAGTCATGAAGAGATTACATTGTGGGATGTATAGGGGCCCATGCCTGGCTCCAGGGTGGGCTGTGGGTCAGAGACCACTGGTTGCCTCCCTAATACTTGTTCTCCCTTTCCTCCCTAGTAAGGGAACCCCTTTAGCCACCCAGTCACAACACAGCATTTCCCAGCCTCCCTTGCAGCTGAGTTCAGGCCAATGAAATGTAAGGGGAAGTGTTGTATGAGATTTGTAAAAGGATCCTTAAAAGGCAAGGGAGTATACCCTTTCCCTTCCCCTCCCCTCTATTTTCTGGAATTTGTGTGTGATGGCTGGAGCCCTGGCAGTCATATTGTCACATTTAAGGAGGAGTGCAGTCCTCTAGGGGTGATACAATCCTGGTATCAGTGCTGGATTGGGGGGGTGGGATGGTAAACTATCTTGTGTGTGCCATTGTTATTTTGGTTTTTCAATCACAGACAGCCAAAGTAAACCCTAACTGATTCAGCATGCAACCCAGGCCTGGGCCAGCCAGTTGATGTGTTAACCTATCCTCCATCCTCAGTGATTGGGGTACTACTAAGAGTGAGAAGCTTGCAGCCTGCCTCCCTGCCTGAGGGTAGAGAGTGGAACATAGGGTCCCCTTGACACCACTTGCCTCCTGGATACAGCCTTGCCCGAAGCCAGAAGCTTTGTTGGTCACATGAACCTCTGGGTATTGGGTTGTGTGCACCTCTGTACAGTTGAATTGTTAGGTTTTTTCAATCAGAGAGGGGCATTTTAGGTGAAGGGAACAGTAAGTTCTAGCAGCACCTGAGCCCATCAAGTGGGCACTAAAAACAGCCCATTCCAGTGCTCCTTGGAGGTCCTAGGGCGAGGAAGCCTGTCTGTCAGGCTCTGGGGAGATAGACCCCAAACAGAGGGGTCATTAGTCCGTCCCTCAAATATGAGAGGCCCCAGGCCATCCGGCCCACAACGATTCCCAGAAGCACTTGGGAGGCCCTGCTTTTATGCCGAGGGCCTGGCTTTACACATTCAAGTCAACGTTCACACGAGCCCCTCGGGACTGTTGTCATTTTCAAAGTCCACAGAGTCTTTTACAGCGTGAAGTGGGAGCAGAGCCCCCCGTTTGTCCCATCGGCCCCCAAAGGGCAAAAGACGACCTAGACCGGGGTTTGCCGCCTCAGCCCCGCTGGCCCTGGCGCGGGGTCATTCTCTGCGGTGGGGGCCGTCCTGGACATTGTAGGGCATGTAGCAGCATCCCTGGCCTGCGCCCTCTAGATGCCAGCAGCGCGCCCCTGTCGTGACAGCTGGGGGCCACACACCAGGCCTCCCGCCCGGGCAGCCTCCGCGGGAACCGCTCAGTCGTCTGCCACGGGCAGCTGGGTAGCTGCCGTCACCGAGGTGGCCTCCGCCTGCCCACCCGCAGAGTGAGGGTGCCGGGCCGGGGGCGCTCCCCGCGCGGGGGCCGGCCCAGCGGAGTCCTCGTGGGCGGAGAGGCGGAGTTCCCTGCGGTTCAGCCAGACGTGCAGACCCAGGCCCCTGCGCCCGGCCCGGGCCTCCCCGGCTGCTCTCCCTGGCTGTGCTCCGGGAGGGGCCGCGGAGCTGCCGCCTGCCCGGCGC